CATTCCAACGTTGTCGGCGATTCAACAGCCGGTCTTTCCTCTATCTGGCGTTGGCGGTGGATGGATTGAGGTTGACAATGATGCCTATGTGGAATATACCGACAAGGAGGTGCAAACTGACGCGATATATCACGGCGTGAACGAGTCGATTGGCGAGAACGATTTATCGCTGAAAACATCTCAAACTCCTAGAAGTGTAGAAGACTGTCTTGAAATATATAAGTCTGAGGTAAGAATTATATTTTTTTATTCTCTTATATTATTACTATAATATTATACATAATTCTGTAACGTTCACATGGAAACTGAATACATTATTTTGCTGGGAAAAAGAGATGAGCTATTCAAAATATTTAAAGCAGGCAGCCTGTAGTGCATCTTCTCTGCCTATCTGTTCATTAAAGACCAGATTGTTCATTTCAACGTTTTCCTTTGCAGCTCGGAGCCAACGTGTTAACGGACGAGGAGGTGATACAATTAGTGCATCATAAACACATAGCTGCATATCAGCTGGAAAAAGCAGTGGGCGACATGGAACGCGGCGTTGGTATTAGACGTCTTCTTGTGAGCGCCGCCGGTAACTTCACCGAGGAGATGGCCGATCTGCCATACAAGAATTATGACTACAACAAAGTACTAGGTTCCTGTTGCGAGAACGTGATCGGCTATTTACCGGTGCCGGTTGGTATCGCCGGACCATTGCTGATAGACGGTCAGTTGTATCATGTGCCGATGGCTACGACCGAGGGTTGCCTAGTGGCGTCCACGAATCGTGGTAGCCGCGCGCTCATCAAATGCGGCGTGACTAGTCGCATAGTGGCTGACGGCATGACTCGCGGACCGGTGGTGCGATTCCCAAACATCGTACGCGCGAGTGAGGCGATGTCGTGGATGCAACAACCGGATAACTTTCAGGAGATGAAGAGAAACTTCGATCAAACCAGTCGCTTCGCCCGCCTGACGAAGATCCATGTGCGGATTGCCGGTCGACATCTATTCGTACGTTTTGTCGCCAAAACTGGCGACGCCATGGGTATGAACATGTTGTCAAAAGGCACGGAGAAATCCCTACAGATGGTGCAGACCCACTTTCCGGACATGGAGATACTCTCCCTCAGTGGAAACTTTTGCACTGACAAGAAACCCGCGGCCGTTAATTGGATCGAGGGCAGGGGTAAAAGCGTGGTATGCGAAGCGATCGTACCTGCGGATATCGTGACTAATGTGCTGAAGACATCGGTGCATGCGCTGGTCGACGTCAATATCAGCAAGAACATGATCGGCTCAGCCGTGGCAGGCAGTGTAGGCGGCTTTAATGCTCATGCCGCCAATATTGTTACCGCGATCTTTATCGCTACCGGACAGGATCCCGCGCAGAACGTTGGTAGCAGTAATTGCATGACGTTAATGGAACCGTGGGGCACCGAGGGTAAGGATCTATACGTGTCGTGCACGATGCCTAGCATAGAGATTGGCACGGTGGGCGGCGGTACAGGTCTGCCGGCACAAGGCGCGTGCTTAGCGATGCTGGGGGTGAAGGGGCCGCATGTCGCGGTACCTGGTGAGAACGCCAGCCAACTCGCCCGAATTGTTTGCGCTACTGTGCTCGCTGGCGAACTATCTTTAATGGCCGCGCTAACGGCCGGACATTTGGTCAAGAGTCATTTGAGGCATAACAGGTACGTGGTTTATGGAATATCTAAATTGAGGAATTAAATGTAATAATGGTGAAAGCCGATTATTATTACATTGTGGATAGCTAGCTATGATAAAATAATTATATTATTAATATAACAATTTTTCCTGATATTCCATAGTATTAATAACATTAAGATGTTTAAATGAAAATACTTACTCCCCAAACTGTTTTAAACTCACATTTTTCAAAAGAAGACTTAAAATTAAAATATACAATGTTCCTTTCTCATAAAAATATCGATTTAATACAGAAGTTTGAATGATAGAATGAGTTATTCGATTTTGAACGCAACGACTAGTTCAGTTAATTTATTAATGTATTATTAATTATTAATAATTAAATATATGCTCCTTTCTTTCTCGTAAATATAGAATTATTTAGTTATTAATTTACTTCAAATCTCATTTTGCAAATGAATCGCATATTTTGCTCTGTTTGCAGATCATCTATTCTAGTTAATAACTCGATGAATACAACTCACAGCGGCGGTAATGGCGACAGCAACAAATTAACTGTGCCAAGCGTTTTGCCATCCTCGCAAAATCTTTGCGCTGACTTCACACAGAAATCTTAGCGTTAAGCGGCAGGATGTACGTTTCCGTAATCTCCGTGGAAAACAAACTATAGTCTGCGCATTGTTTCGCACCTGCCTCATATCCCAAAGAAACAATTATTTAAGTATGCATGTTTCTGCTGCACGCGAGATGTAGGTCGAACTATAATAGATATTACAATATGTATGTGCATATATATGTACATGTATGAAAAGAGAAGTGTTCTGATAGAAATGATCAACTTTATCTCTAGATGCTATAATGTAAATAATAAATTTTCTGATTGCGTTTCGAAATCTGCAGTGGATTCAGGATTCAAAATTCGTACGTGAATTAAATCTCAAATTTAAAAAACTGCCGATGAAGCTAATCGTAGAAACTACAAGAGATATATAGAACAATAAAAATAAATTATATAAAATTTGCATCTATTATTTCTATATATTATAACGACACATAAATATTGTAATTTTATAGTCACAGATTTCATTGAATATAGTATAGGAGGTCCGAACGAGATCATATTTATCTCGATAGATTTCAAACATCTGATACAATAACGATAACATGTAATAACATATGTTTTCCTAGCTGTCCTAGGTCTCAATTAAAGATTACACAATTGTGGCCAGTTCAATGCGACTATTTATCTCTTTAAACTTTTACTTGAAGGACCAGACATACTCAGTTGTATATGCTCATTTGTATTGCGATAATGAATAGCAAGACAAATGTATAAAAGAATTAAATAAAATTTAATTCAAAGATTAGCTTTCCGTGTGATATCGAAAATATCGCTTGAGTAATGTCTTCTGAAAAATAGCATAGACTTTTAATTTTTAGTGAAGTTAATAGAGGAAACATAAAATGCATCCAAATACACGAGAGAAAATTTGAAAACTAGGAATAAGATTAGATAGAATCATTATAAAAACAATATATCTTGTGAAATTATTCTATTTTTATGCATTTGAAGGTGTATGTAAGTGAAGATTAATGTTATGCGCGCGACTGTCTCAAGTAAAATAATGTTTGAAAGTTGTATACGAAGTATAATCGTTATATTATTATGCAATCATTAAAAATTATAAAGTGATAAATAGAAATGCGCTAAAAAGAACTGAATTACTAGGCTTCAAATACCTCGTAAATTTAGTATGCGTTTAACACATTGAATGTTGTTAAAACCTTAATTAAGAATTTAAAAAATTTAACTGTGTGTATAAGATAAACCGTTTTATTTAACTTTATTTTGTAAAGTAATAAGAGTTGTATGAATCAAATAACCCTCAACGAGGTATAAATATCATGTACACAGCCCTAATAAGTTTCCGAGAGAAAACCGATTTCGAGAAACTTATCTATAAATTCGTAGAAAGTTCGAGCAAAAATTATATCTTCGTATAAAATGATATTAATGATATTAAATATACATTAATTCGTATAAAATGATATTAATGATATTAAATATACATTAATTCGCATATTCTACTGTGTTCTAATGTTCACATTTTTTCGTATGTTTCTTCATAACCGCACATTGTACAAGTATGCGTATAAGTATCATCCTCTTCATTATATGTATCTTCCCCAAACTTGTGAGTGTGAGATGCTTTTGTCGTCTTATCGTACAATGAGCTTCTCACTTGCATTCGCAGCTGTTTGATCTTTATTCCCATGAAACATAAAATTTCTTTTAGCATCAAGAGATGAGATATATATTAAAATCTCAATTTATAAGAACAAGGTACCTTTTTGTTGAATTTTTTTATCTTGGCTCCCTCTCGCTTCATATCGCGAGCTTCTTTCTCTTTCAGCAGATTCTCCTCCGAACCCCATACTTCTAAAGCTCTTTGCTCTATCTGCAAATGAAGATACAACTTCATCTCGCCCCAATTCACATTGTGAGGATTCTTTCGCACAATATACTTCAACACGGGCTCCCGCTTATCGAGATCACAATCTTTCAGTAAGTATTCTTGTTTAGCTTCTGTTTTGGTAATTAAAGAATGCTTTCCCTCTTTATCTCTAGAGTAATGTGTAATGATATAATAATTGCAATTTTTCGAGATTATTAACAGATATATGCAGAAAAAAAGATAAAATTTGATGGCATCGTTTATTTTAAATGCTTTTATCATACCTGCACTTATCACAGACAGCCAGATCAAATGTTTGAAAAAGATATGAATCCCCAAATTTCTGTTGGCATTCCTCACACTCGTTAAATTTACCGATAACAGGTTCTGGCTCTGTTCTAATCTTCAGCTAATTAAATAAATGTGCAATATTGTAAACTCCGTAACAATAATGTATAACCATATACATATATATATATATATGTATATATATATATATATGTATATAAAATATGTTTTTATACCATTTGTTGTTCTAATTCATCATTTTCTTCTATCAGGAAGCCTCCACCACTATCGATAACACGCTGTCCTTGAAGTTTTAACGATCTTCCTTTTATTGACTCGCTGTTTTCTCTACAACCATATTATTGATTACAAGCATATTATTCAAGCATATTTTTAAAGACAATGAGTTAATCTTATACAAAATTTTCAAAAATTTGATTATTGACAAGGAAAGATTGTTTCTCATTCAACTCTTACATAATATAATTCTTTTATATATATATGCTTGTCGTATACCTTGTATATGGATGAGTTACAATCTTAGATTTTTTTAACAAAAGTGCTCTCTGACGATTCCTTTCAGCTCTCTCTTTAAGCTGCTTTTCCATATCCACGTTGCTTCCATTTTTAGTAGAATCACTTTCTATATTTACTGATGTTGTGCTAGCCATTCTCTTGTAAATTACCAAATTTGCATGTATATATTTTATGTCAATTATATATATATTTTAAAAGAAAAATATTTTATTTTAAAATAAGCAAATGTATTCTGTTTTCCTATATATATATTCCTATATATAAAAATATTCAAGGGTATTACATTATATAAACATATTAGCACATTTAAATGATAAGCATTTTCTAAATAAACAAATTGGTCAACAGAATTCTAAAATAAAAAACGGTTGCCTTCTTTTATAAACTAAAGAATGTCTTTATCTCGTAAAAGTTATTTAGCACATGTATCTCTGCATGTTTGTATAAATAAAGAGGTTATTACTCACCAATTTCAAGTTTAAAATTCTATGACGTACGGCGAAAAAGGACGCTAAACCAAAGATTCAATTTGTATAGGATGAAAATTATAATAATCAATTGAATTTTTTTGTTATATACGATCTTTCGGCATATTCGTACTAATTGACGTTTGTTTATTCATATACTCTTGTAATTTGCAATTCCCTAAAACTTCTATTCGAGCATTGAAGATAAATAAAGCGAAGAATATTGTAGATGCAAGCAACACGCACAGATTACAGATCTATAGTTACACCCACTTGCACTTTATGCACTTTATGCACTTGAAATACACGTGACTTGCTGATGAATGACATAAAAGGGGTGCGTTTGGGAAGCATTCTTTTGAGCGTGTTACCCGAATACAGTAAAAAATGTAAATCGTAAAATTAAATTTCCATAGAATTAAAAAAGAATTTGCTTTATTTATAAAAATAAAAGAATGTTTCGTTAAAAAAACATCTATTTACAGAATATGTTATTTTTTGAAAAGAATTTTAAAAGTTTCTATATATATATATAACATTTTTAGAGAAATTGTAGATTTTAATATTTTTTTTCTATTATTTGGAATTAATACTAATTTGTTGGTCAATACATATATTAACAAGCCAAATTATTCTCTATTAATTTCCGAGGCTTTTGGATGTTCTGTTTAGATATTTTGATTTATAATCGGAGTAGGTTCATATAGAAGAACACGTAATACGGCTTAAAATATAAGGCATAAAACGCACATTTATTAAAATTGACAACTTATTCTTTCTCTATCGCCAAAACCTAAAAAACCATACAGTACAGAATATCGCAGCGATATTGCGGCAATATTGCTGCAATGTTCTGCGCTGTATGGATTACAATATTGATCTAGAATTTTTTAACTTAGAATAATAGTTTCTTATGTCTACATTGCAGAGTCGCATGTATACAGATTCACAATCAGGAATTGAATAAGTTTACTCAGATTTTCTGTACATGATGTTGAGCGACCATTGTCAAGCTTCCATCGCACTGATATTTCGAATACAATAACTGTATTCGTGAATATTCGATATATTGATACTTTGAATATTCACGTATACAATACAATTATTTACAAAATGCATGCTATGTCATAGACTAGATAGATTGCTGTTAAAGAGACTGACACACATTATATAGAAATTATATTTGTGAAATTATCCTATAAAATTACTGCATTATAGCAATGCTCATAGACTACTTAATTATTAGAAAAATATCGCGTGAAATAAAAAAATAAATATAAACGGTGTGATAAGCTAATGTAATATATCATATATATCATTTGAAATAATCTAGAAGATATAAAATTATAAAATATCGACTTCTTTTATCGCGAATCATAATTTACAGTTGTGCTTGCAGAATCGCTAAGAGAAAATAATTTGTATTACCTTATTTTGGTGGAAAAGTAAAACTCATCATAAACTTCCATGTCTCACATATTATATGTAGTTTTGCATATTAAAATGTATTGACGATTACGAAAATAATTTCGAAATATAAAAGAATATTTTTAATTATTTGTTATGATGATAAAATACTGTCCCCGCGTTCTGAACACGTGCTGGCAATTAATTGCACGTTTAATATGCGTATTCTTCTGTATTCTGATGTTACAGAAGAATGCGCCGACGATTAAAATAATTCCTTCAATTCTTTTTGCCATAAAATTTCCGATTCAGTAGATACAAGAGCAGATTCACGTTGACTTTCGCTCTGCCGAACATGTCCATATAGGAGCGACCTTCATACTGCAGCTCGAGCAATTCCTGTATACTAATGTCGAGTTTTTCCAGTTCGACGCCCATGAACTTGCAGCGCACAGAGAAAACGCCATTGCGCTCCGTCGGGCTTATTTCAAATATCACGTTTTTCATCTCCGTTGGGCTCAGGGTCTGATCGACCTCCATCAACACGCCTTTCTCTTGCAGCTTCCAGGCAGAGTATTTGACCGTCATTTTAGATCGCAGTTTGGACAAGGTATGAGTGTCCTTTTGCATCGCTTGATACGCGCGAAGCGAACTCTTCCCTCTGTGCAGATTCTGAAGGCAACCTCTTATGTACTCATTATAGAATTCGACTTGTTCCTGATAATATCTCGTTTTCTCGTCTAATCGCATCTTGGTGGCGCGCAGCGTCTGCAACTCCTTATCCCTCGCAATACGATACTTGTTCTTGTTGCAAATATCCCTCGCTATCGCGGTCACGATCGTTTGATAACCGTCCACACGGGTCACCCATCCTTCTAGCTCGAGTTTATTGAGATACGCGCGCAATTGCATCTTGCAATCATTTATAGACGAGCTCTCGCGAATTGTCGCCGACACGGATGAATAATCAAACTTCGCGCACATTGGAGAAGAAGTGATCTCCAGGGATTCTATCAGAGTCGGTTTTTTCAAGAATGAAATAACCGAGACAAGCAATTCTTTTGCCTTCACAAAGAGATTGTTCAGATTCGTGTCGTCGTTTCGTGGCACTTGAAATTTGTTTGTCAGTACTAGACATACCTCTTGCTTGCTATATCGCGCCAAATTCATCTCGTACACCGCGTTGGATATTCCTAATAACGATGCCACAGTTGGCACCTGTCCTAGATCGTCCAACAAATCGTGCAAAGGATTGGATGGATCCGGCGCTATCACGTCTTCATATCTCAACATCAGGGCATGTATCTCGCATATTTCTTGCAAAGATACACATATCTCTGGACTTTGTATAAGCGTGGCCTCCGTATATTCATGAATATCAAAGTGCTCTTCGAGGTCCTCCACTTGACAGCAATATCGAAAGAAGTCTTTGAACTTTTCATGGCAGGCAATTATAAAGGGATTCAAACATTCCAAGTGCGGTGCCTCCTCGCCGAAACCCTTCTTCGAAGTGGAGAATTGCAACACTTTGGCTATACTGGCTAAATTCTTCCTTTGGCAGGAGGACAAAGATCTGTCGACTGGTAACGTAACGATGTCGAAGGTATCCGGTGCTACAATTGCGGCGTTGATGAAGTGATAATAAATCAAATTACCAACAGCCTTCAGGATATCCTTTTCGGGAGCAAGCGGAAACTTCTCCGTTAGCGAGCTGTAGAGGACCTTCGACACATATAACATCCCGTAAGGAATCAGATCGCGGGATCTCGTTATCCTGTTGAGAAACTCGAGAGAGATCTTCTTCAACTGATTTATCGCTCTCGTAAGCGATTCCTGGACTGGTATATGTTTCAGCGCCTGTTCCTGAGACACCGTGTGAGGCATATCCAGAGACTTACCAGACTCCATTTCCAGCTGATTTCGCCAGAGCTTGTATATATCTACCGGATTCGTCTCCATGCACAGATCCTTTTCCTCCAAAACCTTCTCAATCAACGAACCGACGATTTGCTTCAATGATACCTGACCATTAAACTGTTTCGCGTAATTGACCACCATCTCGCGAACCAGCGGCTTGCCAGTCAATACGTCGGAGGGCTGATGACAATTGCAGTTGATCTCCTCTTTCAATGCATAACCAAAGAGTTTCAGCAATAAATAGTCTTCCCTTGTGTTCGATCCGAAATTGAATAATGTCCAGATGATGTTTTTCAGGAACAACTTGTTGGATTTGTTACTAGGTGGTAAGTATAACAGTTTGGAGAGATATTGCGGATTCGTTTGCAGTGCATAGAACAGGTGTTGATAGCCCTCCAACATTTTACGACCTTCCTTCGTTAACGATTTAAGACCCTTGTGTGGTGTTGCGGCGGGATCGCATGAAATGCTTTGATTCTTGTTCGCATTTTGTTCCTTTGCGAGAGTATCCAAGCTCTTGCCGTGCGCTACTACGTCCTACATAAATATATGTGAGATGTTTTAGTTAAAATTTTGATTGCATAATTGACTAACAATAAGCTTTGGAAGGAAATGTACCTGTAATGCTATTCTGTTCTGTATCAATAATCCTATTTTAATATACATGTTATTCAATTGCTCCGACAAATTCTGATTGTGCCTTATACATTGAACGACCTCGTGCTTTAATTTCTAAAACAAATGACCATGAGAGCAAATTTTATATTGCTACAGTATTTGATATTGATACAATATGTGTAAATAATACAAAAATCAACGTACTTGTAATTCTAAATCCTTGTCGTAATCCTCCGCGCTAAAACCTAATACTGTCGAAAAATGCCTGACCACAGGGAATGATGGTTTCTCCGAGCGCAATAACGCGTGAAAGGCTTTTCTCGATGCTCGACCACGCCATAAAGCTTGTATCTTTATTATCTTGTCTTCCTATAATTAAGAAACATTTTATGAATATAAGTTGTAATTTAGTGATAAGAAATGCAATTGTTAAAATACTTAATCAAAAGTTAACTTCAAAGAAGAGTTTACCTGTTTCTTATATCGATTTAATTTATCATTCTTGTTATTTCTTTTAACATTTAATAACTTATCCTGATGTAATTTATCATTTTTATTTATTTTTGTATTTAATAATTTATTATGATGTAATAATGCATTTAATTGCCGCTCTCTTTCTTTCAGGAATTTATGATATCGGTTACGTTGTCTGATGCCTCTCCACCATGCTTGTATCATGACAATACTCCTTACATTATCATTGATATAAGCATATCTATCAGCAATCTTTTTACGTAATAGATATCCCCTAATCCAACTTTGAAATCTAATAAGTAACTTTTCATCGTACATTACATAATTTTTCTGACGTTTCTCTATTACAACAGATTTAATTGTTTCCTACAAATATAAAACAGAGAATTGTTAGCAATGTGTATCTTTAATTAGGCATAAAACTCAGAAAGAACACATACGTACATTTATATCATTTATAGTGAGATGATAAGTTTTCTTAATATCTGCAGGACATTCCCATGCATAACTTTTGCTTTTTAAATCGATATAAACTTCATTTCTCTCATTGGTCATATACAAAATATATGGGCAACTATGTATTTTACACTGCAATCAAAGTATATTAAATAATGATTATATAATTTTATACCCAAGATGTACATTTTATTTTTTTTATATATAAAAAAAATATTTTATACCTTCCGCTCTTGTAATTGCCGCAATGCTAGAAAACATCTCTTTTGACATTCTTTAGTAAGCTCTTTAAAATTTTCAATCATATCAAAGCTTTTACAGCACTTGAGAGCTTCTGTCATATTATTATCTTGTACATAGATGTTGATATTGTATAAAAATTCAATCACTATAAATAACGAAATAGATTAAGATAATTTTTATCTATTATATGATAAGTTTTAGTTTAATAATCAACAAATGCGATCGATTCCGACGTACCGTTTTCGATTTTTTCAATTTCTGATGTAACTGTTTTTGCTACAGTTTTAATGTCATCCAACCATAACTCAGATCCGTCAGAATCTTTCTCAATTAAACGCTTTTTAAACATCTTTAAATAAAGCAAAGCATTGTGCGAAACCTTGGGTATATTATATTTGTCAGTTATCATTTCTAAGGCTCTCATCATGGTCTCATGATCGTTCGTCACTATAGCTTGATTTATCTGCTGTAAAATCTTTATAACTGTTTAAAGAAAATTATATAATATTAATTCTCAATAATATTTGATATATAAAAATGTAGTCACATGTATCATTAGTGCGATATTCATATTCTACCTTCAAAACCTTCGTCGTACTCTGCATTCACTGTATAGATGCATTGTTGAATGTCGCTATAAGTTAATAAAGAACATTCTTGGGACGTTTTTAGTTTCACCTGTCGAAACGTCGCTAGTGTCTGAGCATACTTTACTTTATTTAATTCATCCAATCCCTATAATGATTATAGCACTATGTTAAAACAGCTTGTTTCTATATGTCAGTGAAAATAATTATAGATTCTTGTGTAAACTTACAGATAAATATACATCAGGATCTGACAGCTTTTCATAAACAAAATCTGGATTTTCCGTGTCCACTGCTTTGGTAATAGCAGCTATAATGGATAATAGACGTACACTAGTCACTATGTCATTATAAATCAGATCAGTCTGTCAGAAACAAAATCGTTGCTATTAATGGAAAAGTTGGTCGCAATAACAGTAAATAAAAAAAGAAAAATAATAATATTTAAATGTATTGTCAAATCTTGGAAAAAAATGTTTCAAATTTTCCAATTCCTGGAATTTACAGAAAATTAGAATTGAAGCATTTTTAAATACAAATTTAAAATAAATTTGTTTATTACATGAGTTTCTTAATATTCCCTACTCGTTGAATCATGGAAAAAAATTAACTATTTAATTTTTAAGTAGATTCAAAAAAGTTAACGAGAAAAAAATGGAACGCTTTCACATAAAATAAATATTTGATATTGCATAAGATTTTTACTCTTTTATTTCTAAGAAACAGAAAGATGATATAATATGTATGAACTTACTTGAGATTCTGTACGATCATCTTTCATCTCCTGGTAATACAATGGAACCGCATACTCATCAATGCAATGAGAGATTTCCAAATAAGGACTTTTTAAAATCTCATAAAATTTCTCTTTATCTGCAGATTCTAAAGCCATGTTCAGCAGCTTTATAGTTTTCTCTCCTATAATATAAATCAGCATTCTATTTCATAGTCATTAAAAAAAAAAAAAACCATTTATAGAAATTTTGTTAAATAATATTAACGTTTGCGGCGTCGCTGCGCATTCTCGTTTCCTTTGTCAATTGCTCTCTGAAATGTGTCTGTCCAGTACTGAATGCTTTCAGATGCATACGTATCGTTCCACGGTTCTTCATTCAATACCAGCATGAGTTGTTCTTTGTAATCTTCAACATTCTCAGAAACTATATTCTGCGAAATAATATTTACAATATTAATTAAATCTCTTTTTTTTTAATATGCAAATAGTTTATATTCAAAAAATTATATCTTCCTATACCTTGAAGGGTAATACTGATACTCCTAAAGCAGTAATTAATTCAGCATTGTCACGCAATACAGATGAAACAATAACTTTCAGGGCAGAGGAAGCTGAAATATATTTTGGCACAATAACAAATTAAATCACATACAATTTGGCAATAATTATCAAAATTTGTATTTCATAATACTTATTCACCATTCACATAATTAATGTGTCCTTGTATTTCTGCTTGTGTTAATAGCTCATCATATACATCTGCTACATAACTATCATTGAGAGACTGAATAACATTGTATTAATAGAAAGATTAATGAAAGATTAATAAAATTATTAAAGTGAATATAAACATACAAAATTATGCAAATAATATAATCACATACTCTATTAAGTGACGCCTCTGTTTTTGCACTTTTAGCAGCCAATAATGCTTCGGTATATTCCTTGATATAAGCAGATTTAATGTTATTTAATTGTGCCTCTTTACTTTGAAGTGCATATAGAATTTTATCGTTCTCCTGAAAGTATACAGATTAATTGGTAATATGCAAAATTATTTTGTGAAGAAATTACTTTGTAGTTAACATAAAAGAAGCGTACATTATCTATCAGAGCTTGATTAATTGCAATCACAGCAGCATGAAGAGCAGCTGTGTCTGTAGCAATACTGTTTGTCAATAAACCACCTATTTTTTGGAAAGGGGGCAATTGAATGCCATATTTTTGCAGTTCTTTACTAACTGCATCTATCTCTTCATCTAGAATAAGCACATAACAATTGTTACAAAAATTGCACATAAAAATATAACTATAATTATCTTTCACACATCCAAGTAAGACATTTTATTTATTTTATTGTAATATCCTTGCATTTTCTAAATAATATTGCAGAGAACAAAGTACATACCAGAAAAATTTACTTTTCCATATAAATCTTGCATTGGTGGTGCTTTACCTAATTTAAATAAGTGTGTGCTAAGGGCATGAAGGCAATATATTACTCGTGGCATATTCTTTTTGTCATATATATCTGTTGTTTCCGGTAGGAATGTCTGTAAAAAGCAAATATATTGATAAATGTATCAATGTAAACAAAAAGTCCATATTTGTATTGTACTAATAAAACATTCTCTTTTTTTATGATTATTATATAAGCAAGCACACACACCAATGGTAACTGCGTAGATACCAAGCATTTGAGAAAATAATTTATATTATCCGTGTGACGAAATTGCAATCCTACAGCTTTGTATCTGCGCTGTTCAGTGTCATAGATTTTATTCAATGGTAAAATATTAGGTGCCATAAAATGGCCGAGTTTAGCCAGATATACTCCATTGCGAAGATTCTCCTCCAGCTCGGTTGTTGGAGGTAATAATTCTCTCAAACAAGCTTCCATCCATCTACAAATAATTTTCATAAATTTCAATATCTTTTTTACTTTAAAAAAATATATCTAAAATATATATCTCTTTTATATTAATGTATTACTTCTTCGCTCCTTCCAGGTAGCAGAGATACTCATATGCCAATGTTTTTCTGCGTTGTTCATCCATTTTTTCTGCAGATTTCCCCACATCTTCTTCTAAAATTCATTCATGCAATCGTAAACATTTGTATTTAATCGAAATATACCACGCATTTATACATATAAATATCGCACATTTAAACTATCACTTTGTAATGTCAATGTCACAGTAATGTTTTTCTCAAAGCTTGTACTTATCCGCTTTGCTGTTTCCAAATAACCAGCACATAATTATACATGTATACACGTGTATAATTATAATTAATTATACGTGTATAAATGCAAATTTATCAATTTTACTGATCATTTATATTTATATTTATTGACCCTCAAAACTAACGAGTGTTTATAGAGAAGCCCAAGATTTATTCGTATATGAGAATGCAGAGACATATATTTATTATTAATTAACGAAGTGAGATTATAGATTATCGATCTTCTTACCTTTTCCATCTTCCGTCGAAACGTCAGCCGTGTCGATCATTCTGAGAACGAACAACTGTCACACACGAAAAGCCGGAGAGTGCAACAGGTGAAAAACAAATCGAACAATACGTTACACTCTCTCGAATTCAAATATGTCATTCCGCGGCAGCACTGACGACAGTGCTGACAACGATGCGAAACGAACAGTCACGGTGTATATCGAATACCTAGATAGGAAACGAAACAAAAAATTGTGTAAATTAGAAACTTGCACATTGCTTCCTCATCATTTTATTTCGTTCACAAAGTTTAAGCTCCTTACAATAAGCGGGTTTTTCAATATTGGCTTCCTCATAGAGGAAACTTTCACCGATCCTCATTAAATTTAATACCAACCATCCTTTAATAATATTCTATTCATGTAAAAAAATTTAACTCGATATCAAAAAATTTGCAAAAGTTAGAGCGTGTATAGACATTTCTCAAAAAATTTGCAAAAGTTAGAGCGTGTACAAACATTCCTCAAAAAATTCAAAATTTTATAAAAAATGAACCCTTTCACCGATCCTCACCAAATTCAATACCAACCATCCTTTAATGATACTTTATTTATGTAAAAAAATTTAACTCGATATCTAAAAATTTGCAAAAGTCAGAGTGTATTTTTCAGAAAATTCAAAATTTTATAAAATATGAACCCTTTCACCGATTCTCAACAAATTCTCGAACTCAATACCAATCATCCTTTAATGATACTCTATACATTTTAAAAAATTTAGCTCGATATCTCAAAAATTGCGGAAGTTAGAGGTTGTACAATGTACATTCCGTACATACATACATACA